AGATGAGGCTTTCTGCTCCCATAAAGATTTACAGCCTCAGAAACCCTGTCGCTATGAGTCAGAACCAACTCCACAGCACATAACCACCATATACATGGACCTTACCGGATGGATTATTGAGTACTCAAATCTACTACATCAGTACCAGAGTTGTACCCTTTCACTATACTTATTCAATCAGTATGTTGAGCAAATATTCTGAGAAATTGGATTCTATGAAGAAGAAAGTGGCATGAGGAGTGGAAGAAGACACATTAACAACCTGCAATATGCAGATGATACAGGAAGTGAAGAAGTCTTAAAATACTGATGAAAATCAAAGACTACAGACTTCAGTATGGATTGAACCTTAGTGTAAAGAAAATGAAAATCTTCGCAACTGGACCAATAAATAACATCATGATAAACGATTGTGAGATTGGCCCAGGACCAGGCAGTGTTTCGTTCTGTTGTGCATGGGTCACTATGAGTTTGTATGGTCTCTCGGTGGCACCTAACAACAACAACAATTTCTGTGGAGATGATAGAGAAAATCAATGTCAGAACAGTCAGAACAAGGCCAGAGGCCAAGTATAGAATTTTTTCATCTGCAAGTTCAACTTGATGCTGAAGACAATTAAAACAAGTCCACTACAGCCAAAACAATGGCTTTTAGTTTATAGAGACCATCTCAAGAACAGACTTGACATATTGAACATATTGAAGAACAGACCAGTGGTGGGATGACATGAAGAACAGCATACATGAAGAGTGTAACAGGCAATCAAAAAGACAGGAAGGAAAGAAAGAAAAAAAGGATGTCAGAAGAGACTGAAAACTTGCTTTAGAACACAGAATGTTGTTGTTAAGTGCCGTCCAATAGGTGCCTACTCACAACAACCCTGAGTCTGACAGATTGAAACACTACCCAGTCCTCCACCATCCTTACAACTGCTTCTACACCTCAGTCCATTGTTGCTGCCGCTATATCAATCCGTCTTGTTGGGGGAAGGGTCTTCCTCTTTTTCATTGTCCCTCCACAGCATGATGTCCTTCTCCAGGGACTGGTCCCTCCTGACAATATGTCTGAAGTGTGAGAGATCTTGGCTTCTAAGGAGCCTTCTGGTTGTATTTCTTTCAACAGCTCTGTTTGTTCTTTTGGCAATATATGATTCCTTAGAATAACTACGACTAAAGGGAGAAATGATAAAGTATGAGAGACGAACAGAAGATTTCAAAGGGCGGCTCAAGAAGACCAAGTAAGGTCTTATAAGGAACTATACGGACACTCCACCACTCATCTGTCAGTTGGTTTGTCTTACTGTGGTGGCTTGTGTGTTGCTGTGATTCTAGAAGCTATGCCAAGAGTATTTTAAATACCAGCAGGGTCATCCATGGTGGACAGGTTCCAGACGAAGACAGACTAGAACGAGGGAGAGATAGACGACTTCCAAATATATGGTTACTGAAAAACCTTACGATCATCAGTGGAACACTGTCAGCACCAGAATACTGAACACTGAAGCATGATGAAGAGCACCTGAATATTGTCAGATGTAGTGCCAGAAGATGAGCTCCTAAGGGTGGAAGGCACTCAAAATACGACTGGCGAAGAGCTGCCACCTTAAAGTAGAGTTGACTGTGATGACACCAATGAAGTAAAGCCCTCAGGACCTTCATTTGCTGATGGGGCACAGCTCAAAATGAAGAGAAACAGTAGTAAACATCCATTAATAATTGGAACATGGAGTGCACCAAGTATGAATCTAGGAAAATTGGAAATTGTCAAAAATGAAATGGAACACATAGACATCAATATCCTAAGCATTAGTGAGCTGAGATGGACTGGCATCGGCCATTTTGAATCTGACAATCACATGACTTGCTATGCCAGGAATGACAAATTGAAGAGAAATGCCATCACATTCACCATCAAAAAGAACATATCAAGATTTGTCTTGAAATACAAGTCTGTCTGTGATAGGATAATATCCATATGCCTACAAGGAAGACCAATTAATACCACTATTACTCAAATTTATGCACCAACCATTAAATCCAGTGATGATGAAATTGAAGAATTCTATCAACTTCTTCAGTCTAAAATGGATCAAACACGCAATCAGGATGTATTGGTAATTGCTGGTGACTGGAATGCGAAGGTTGGAAACAAAGAGGAAGGATCAGTAGTTGGAAAAATATGGCCTTGGTGATAGAAACAATGCTGGAGATTGCATGACAGAATTTGGCAAGGTTAATAACTTCTTTATCAGAATGACGGCCACCATTCGTCTGTCAGTGTGTCGTACTGTGGTGGCTTGTGATTTGCTGTGATTCTGGAAGCTATGCCACCAATATTTTAAACACCAGCAGGGTCACCCATGGTGGACAGGTTTCAGATGAACTTCCAGACAAAGACAGACCAGGAAAAAAGGATGACGAACTACTTCTGAATATTTAGTCACTGAAAACCTTATGAATAGCAGAGAAACACTGTCAGATACAGTGCTGGAAAATGAGCCCCTCGGGTTGGAAGGCACTCAAAATGCAACTGGGGAAGAGCTGCCTCCTCAAGGTAGAGTTGACCGTGATGACATGAATAGAGTGAAGCCTGTGGGAGAAAAGCCCGTGGGACCTTCATTTGCTGATGG